CTACTATTAACACTACTGTTGTGCACTTGATAGACTCCAAGGTGCGCTTAGATTATCGACTATGAAATAAACAAAACCTAGAATTAGGACAATTTTTATAAGAAAATAATTTAAATTCAATCAGCCATTGATCATTAATCAATTTATATTTTGGATGCTAACAGTGGATTTTTTTTATGTTGGTACGTGGAACCGGAATATAAAAGTTTATATGTTTATATATATATATATATATATATATATTAGATAATAGGGATACTACTCCCCCCTAACTCAGGTCTTAATCATATGGTCAGAAAAAAAAAATGAAAATTTCGAAAATGCGAAAAAAATCCATTAACCGACATGAGATAAAGGATAATATAAAAGTGTTTGGGCCTATTTGCGTCAAGCTGGGCTGCATCTCTTGTTATCCTATGCCATACGATGTGTATAACTAGTGCTATACTTGCTATGTAGGGTTCAAGGTTTCCTATGAGATCAGAGGTTTGCTGTGATGAACATTGTGGATGGCTTGGCATTGCTTTGGTAAGTATTGCTAACAGTCCATATACAAAATTGGTTAGCAGGGTGACTGATTTCATTGATACTGATGGTGGTTGGTTTGCAACATTCCCTAGGGCCATTGTCATTTTGGTGCTGCATTGCGGCATATCATTATTGCTAATAATAATGTGTTTGACAGTCATGTAAACGGGATTGGTCGAAATGGCCTGTTCATGCGGTGCATATTGATTGACGCGATCATGGATCAGAAATAATCACCATATAGATATGTACTAGTGTATATATAAATGATGTGAATGGTCCACCAGGGTATCAGGTACTACCCTGTGTGGGGATTTGATTTGGTCAAGTTGTATTAATGTAATGTAATGTAGGGCACCGATGACTTGTGATATTTTTTTTATTTTTGAGTATTCTTCCTTTCATTTTTGAATGTAAATGGGATGTTCTAGGCTTCATTGTATTGCTTCATACTTGTCTATTTGTGTTACCTCATCATTCATCATCGACACTATAGGCATGAGCGTTGCTGTTCTTATTTGTTTCTTGCTTCATACACACATATTTATTGCAAATAAATTAATTTTCATTATAAGGTTATGGAGATTGTTGAGTTTCCTTGAAATCATGAATCAATCGATGTTAGACCACCATTCGAAACTTGGAAGTATTCGACGAACATTTCATCTGACTCATCAGCAGTGCGCATCCACAACTCATGCAACCCATAAGGAACCGAATCTAGGACCTTTTGGTCGTATGCACGAACACTTAACCGTTAGACCACTGAGCCCGGCACCCAACAGTGTTAATGTCTAACTGCAACCCATTTACAATATTGCATGACCTCATTTATTGTCTTTTATGAGTATTGCTTCACATCTGACAGGGTTGAACTCCATTAGTCTATAGGTCAAGTATTCGCGCGAGCGGTAGTCGTCAATGCACATTGTTCATAAGTCCCATATCAGGACGAAATAGCCGTCCAGTGCTTCCAGGTTTCCAATGGGTGGTCTAACATTCATGATTTTAAATAAAACTTATGTATGGTATTGGATAGGTATTTATTTATATGATAATAAAATTTATTGATTCTGCTGGGTTGGGGGCTTTTCTAATCAGTAATGAATACATCGTTAATCAAGTTATCTGGATTGATTTTGACTTGAATCCTCAACTGTTATAATTGGTTAGATTGTGTGTAAACTTTCTGTAAAAGTGGTAATTTTCAGAGGAGCTTTTAATAAAAGTCACCTTATTTTTGGGGCAGAGTTTTGGAGGTTTGCGTTTTTACACATTTTTCTCTCAGTTATTGGTATTTATTACACTTAGAGTTGATCCATTGTTTTTGGTCAATATCCAATAATAATAATAATAATAATAATAATAATAATAATAATAATAATAATAATAATAATAATAATGGCGACTTTCGAAGTGCTCATACTACTCTTTAAGCCATTAAAATCTTTGTTGGACATTATGGTGGTTAGAAAAATGATTGTTATAACTGTACAATGTGAATAATGAATCGTTTAGGTTTAATTACTTATTTTATTTTCGAGAATAATTAGTTATTATTGGATAGAAATGTCCTCTCTCTCTCTCTCGGATTGTCGGCATCACGAAGTCTAACAATGATTGATTGATTGATGATTTCAAATGTGTAAAAAAACACAAATCTCCAAAACTCCAATTGAAAATATTGTAACATGTGCTCACTATAGTGACTAGCTTCGTGACGAGATTCTCGGAGTTCTAGTTGAGAAGACGTGACTAGTGGAGTTCAACCTTGTCGGGTGTAGGCAGTAACTACCAAAGACAAATAATGGGTGAGGTCACGCAAAAAATCCGTAGATCAATCAGAGTTAGACATTAGGATCGTTGAATGCCGGCCAACACAGTGGTCCAAAGGTTAGGCGTTCGCGCACAATACCGAAGGTCCCTGGTTCGAATCCTGCAAGTTGCAGGAGTCGTGGATGCGCACTGCTGCTGATGAATCCCATACCAAGACGAAACGGCCATCCAGTTCTCCAAGGTTTCTAATGGTGGTCTAACAGTTATTGATTGGTGATTTCAAATGTGTAAGAAGTTTACTTCATTTGCATTATAGTTGGCATTCATCAACAAGGCACTGATTTGTTTGAAGCAGTTGATGACCTTCAGTTTGACTATCGCAATTAGAGATGCTAATTTTTGAGTGATTGTAGTTAGACAGATGTCGTACTTTATGTCAGTTAGTCAGTCAGTCAGTCAGTTACAATGTAGAACTTTGTACGTACTTACATCAGTTCAAGTTGTAATCGGAAAGATTAGGGTTTGAAGATGTCATTCAAGGGGTATAATCTAGTGAAATAAATTTGCGAAGAGAAAGATGGTCATGCGGAATTCAGAAGATCCGAATTTACGATAACACGAACAGTGGATTCACATATGCTATCACAGACGATTTTGAGCCATGTGATTCAAGGTCTCTAACCATTGGTGACTTTCGTCTCACGGACCCCTCAACCAGTTAGCCTACATCTACCAACATGACTCAATCCAGTTGTCAGTGACTTCATGGATTTGTCATGTTTTGGTTTGGCTGCCTCCATAGGTGACAAATGTAAGTAAGTAATAAATTAGTCCCTAAGAGTTATCATTTCTCTAAACTTCCTCGGAATATAACTGGAATTAACTGCATAACTATATCAAATTGATTAGTCGAAATTGTTGATTATTTATTTTGAATTAAAAAACTGTATTTACATTTAAAAAAACTGGTCAAATATAATAAAATTAGGCAACTGTATTAACTTTATAAATTAAATTAATAAAAACTACGACTAATCTGTACAGTTATATATAGTACAAATTAAATTAGGTCAATTAACTTAAGTGATAAATAAATTTATGTTAACTAATATATTTAGGATGGAGTGTTTTTCCAATTATTAAATACGGTTTCGTTTCATACTTCCTGTGCGTCTGTCACAGGGATGTCCACTTTCTACATTTTTATTTAATTTTGTCATAGGCATAACCGTAGCTTTATTTGACTTTTCAGCGGTCGACCTTCTATCAGGAGACTTGCTTGTGGACTTAGAGAATGTCGATGACATAGTTCTGTTTGGTGGAGACTCTGACAAAATGTAGAGTCTTCTTACTATCCTAAGCAACAATTCATGCATGTTGGGGATGCGATTCTCTCCGTTGAAATGCTGAATTTCGCTACAGGGATGGCGTGTATCGGCACCTGAACTCGTGATAGGGAGTGAAGCAGTTGGGTGTGTCGACTGGTTCACATACATGAGGAGTCTTATAAGTTCTGATGACCTAGTGACCAACGGAATCTCACCACGAATACAGAAGGCTCGATTGGCTCTTGCTAACTTGCGTCACTTATGGTGTTATCCATGTGCTAGCTAAAGGACGATTCTACTACGCAGCAGTTCACTCCGTCCTACTTTATGGTTATGGAACATGACTACTAAGTGCAGAGAATATTCGTAGGTGTCTTCGAAGTATTACTTGTCTATCCTGGGACAGCAGAGTAAGCAATGCAGTTGCCAGGAAACGGGTGCTAGATGAGAACGGCAAACCAGTTAATGGTGTAATGAAATGCCCAACTATCGAATGCCTCAATGAGCTATGTTTTTCAGTGTAGGAGTAGGTTGGAAGAAATATAAGGACGGGCAAACTAAAACATGGCACAAATCCATGAAGTCACTAACAACTGAACTGAGTCATGTTGGTAAATTGTAGACTATCTTGGTTGGGGTCCGCGAGATGGTAGTAGCCAATGACTAGGAATCTTGAAAGACACGGCTCAAATTCATTTGCTGACGCATTAATCTTTGTATTCTCTCAAATCCTCAATTTTCTGGATTCGTCAACACCTCTACCTTTTGTCTTTCTAAAGTTATCTTACTGAATTATACTTTTTGAGTAATATCTTCGAACCTTAATCTCTTTGATTACTATTGTAGTGAATGAGAACACAGGTGGGGGCAACCGAATTGTATTTAACGAAAATTACAGAGTTACTCAGTAAAATAGGGAAAAACCATATCGTAAATCGTTCATTTGCAAAAGATCGGTTCATCCTATGGAACTAGACTGTTCCTGTTGCCAAACATCAATCCATTGTCACTGTTCATGCGTTTCATACAAATTCCATTGTTTTCTAACTCTTCCTTTCTTGATCTTCCCCACATATTATGCTACCAGACTTTACGTTGACACTCACGTTATATACTACTTATAAGTAGTTCGCACCACAGCACCACACTATTACTTCTCCTACCTCTACAATACTATGCGATTTGAATTGACTATTGCGTCTTTGTACGCTAATGTGGTATTATGGCAACTTGAACACTGATGTACGTACATACGTACATACGAAGTTCTACATTGTAACTGACTGATTAAAATGACTGTATTTACTCTATTTGATTCAATTTAAATTTTCATTTACGCTGGTATTTTTTTCTACTTTAATTAATCAGATTGGATTCCATTACCTGGTTTAAGTAATAAAAATCATCTCCCTGTCAATGAACATCAATCAACAATGCTGCCGCATAGCACCACTGTATTTGGTTATTCACATGAACAACTTAACAATCCTGATGATGAAAATGTTGTTAGTCATAACGATGGAATAAATCACGGTGATCAGACGACTACTGAAGTTGATGATGATGATGATGATGCTGATGGTGGGGGCGGCGGTGGTGGCGGTGCTGGAGGTGGCGGCACAACTACTGAAGATACAGAGGATGGTGAAACGGATGATGAGAAATTAGATCATAATAATGATAGTAGCAGTAGTGGAACTCATTTGGATCAGCGTAAGCTTTGATTTTACTTGACATTTTTTTATTTAAGTCTCAATCTTTCACTGTTTAAATTACAAGCCGGTTGTAGATAGACTACTCTTAGAATATATATAAAGCACTCGACGACAATTTCATCCTAGTATTGGACTTCTCAGCATTGATCATTTACAACTAAAGACCGGTCTCATGGGCAAATGCTACTACTGTACGACTATCTTTGATTGTCTTTGTGGATGATGTTCATATTCCACATGGTTAAACTCCACTAGTCATAGCTTCTTTCTAATACTCCAAAAGTTGTATCTTGACTCTTGGCACTAGTGTGTACATTATGATTATTAGAGTATAGGGATTTTGTTAGGATATTCATCCAATATCTTAAGAGAACTATTGGTCAATTCTTATTGGTTAATGCCTACTGATCAATTTTATGGTCGTTCTGGATATCCATATCACGTGCTCCAATGTTGTTTCTTATTGGTTGTCCTGACTATCGATGTCATTTCAAATGTTGCTTCCTATTGGTCGTCTATAAGTGTCAATGTCACAGACTTCGATGGTGTTTCCTATTCGACCTAAATGTATAAATACGCATTATTTGTAACGTTTTATGAGCACGACCAGGACCAGGACCCGGTCGCGGATCCCTAGTCCGGGATACTGATTTTCTTCTGGACTCGGACCTCGTACTTTCTGGATGTTTGTAAAATAAAGGTTCCACTTCATATCAAGTCTTGTCTTCTTACTTTTTTCTCAATATGGGGGTTGGGATAATTGGATTTGTGTAGCATGTCGTGTCACCGGATCCTCGATCCTCCCTCTCGTTTTCCGACTAGGTAAACTTGTAATAATAGTTCAAGTATATCAAGTTGACGTGTTTACGTGAAGGCGTAACAGATTTGTACAATGTTTTTTACAGTTTCAATATTTTCATAAAGTGTATTTTGTTATGAATTGGAATAGTTTTGATCCTTTCTTTAGCTTTTTTTATTGTGACATTTTCTTAGTGAATACTTGCACTACAGTACTACTAAATATGTTAATGGAATTCAAGATTGGCTTTTGCCAACCTGCGTCACTTATGGTGTAGGCGAGATATCCGTTCGCTGACTAAAGGACGAGTGTACTGTTCAGTAGTTCGCTCCGTCTTACTTTGTGGCTGTGAAACATGGCCGTTAAGAGTAGAAGATGTTCATAGGTTACTAGTATTCGATCATAGATGTCTAAGAATCATTGCTCGTATACCGTGGGACAGCCGAGTAAGCAATGGTGTTGTTAAGAAACGTCTTCTAGGTAGGGATGGGAAATCAATCGATGAAGTGGTGAAACTTCATCAGTTGAGGTGGTTTGAACGTGTGTTACATATGCCTAACCACCGACTGCCTCGTTGAGCCATGTTTTGCGATGTAGGAATAGATTGAAGGAAAGCTAGGGGTGGCCAGACCAAAACATGGCAGCAATCTATGAAGTCACTGACAAGTGAACTGAGTCATGTCGGTAGATTTCAACTACCTGTTTGGGGTCCGTGAGATGATGGTTGGTTAGAGACCCTGAATGATATGGCTCAAAACCGTTGCAATGGCGCAGGTGCACCCACTCTATGTGTTCTATGAAATTCTAACCTATTGACTTAATCATCACCTCTGTCTTTCTCTTTCTAAATTTACCTCACTGAATTATACTTCTTGAACAATATCTTAGAACCCTAATCTTCTCAATTACCAGTAATACTGTCACTATGGGATTTAAACTGATGTGGTATGTGGCAACTTGAACTGCTGTACTTACGTGCACAGTTCTACGTTGCTCTTGTTGTTATTTGTCCTTTTTTATACTACTTATCGGCTGAATATTTCAGTAGCTCATTATTGATGGTCTACATCATTACTTAAAGCCAACATTACTCATCCTGAACAATACGTTTACTCTTGTACTGTATAATTCTTCACTTAATAACTTATTTCCTTGTCCCACAATTGACTTTTTCTAACATGAAGAGTTTACAATCACCAAATCATACTACTGTTAAATTAATTAAGTAGCATAAATTAAATACGCGCACAAAATGTTGTTTACATATGTTTAAGATATTGATTTCTAAAAAATCAATTTGATGTACATGTGAATAATAACAATAGCGAAATAATAATATAGTATTTCAACTCGTTTTTTAAACTTTTAACAAGGTTTTTTAAAATAACCAAAGAATTTTTTAAAATTTTCACAGGGTTTTTTAAAATTTTTTGTAATCCTTAGAATGTCAGAAATAAATAGAAAAAATAACTTGATTTCGAATGAAAAAAGAAAAAGCCTTATAAAAAAAGTTATTGAAGATGGATACAGCGTCAAGGATGCGGCATTTCTTACAGATGTGAACTATGAGGCCGCTACAAATAATATAAGGTTGTATATATAAAAAGGAATCGCGAGTTGAGAAGAAAAAAACAGGAAAATCATCAAATAAGAAGATATGCGGTGATATTATCAATTTTGTTGAAGAATTGATAGAATTAAACCCGGTTAATAACGATGGTAGAAATTCGAGAAAAAATAGAAAACATATTTTCTATAGGCCTTTCTCTTGAATCTAGATATAAGAAGGATAATTTATAAACTTCAGATTACTTTGAAAAAGATTTCTTATACATCGGTCAATATAAATTCGGAACGCCAAATTTATGTTCAAAATTTTATGAACATTGAAGATACATTTATAAAAGTTTTTATAGATGAATCTTCTTTTAATTTGTATACTTAAGAAGAACCTTGGGAAGATCTACAAGAGGAAAACTGGCAAGTGCCCTAGTTCCATCAACGCGTGGAACTAATATAAGTTTAATATCGGCTATATATAACAGAAAATGAAGTTCTCTTTGCTAAAACATTTGTTGATTCGGTGAATTCAGATAAGTTCATTCAGATTTTTTGATCAACTAATTGAAAAATGCGGATCCAACGAATCTTTTATATAAATCTAATACTAAATTCTGTAAATCAATTAACCAGGGATGATTTACAAGGTTATATTCAAGACACGTACGTCACAATTGTTTAAAAACAATTGCTAAAGAAGATTTTAATTAAAAGTAGTTCTTATTTTATTTTTTCAAAAAAAATTTTAAAAAACGCTGTGAAAAGTTTAAAAAATTTTTTTGGTTATTTTAAAAAGCTCTGTTAAAAGTTTAAAAAACGAGTTGAAATACTATAATAATAATAATAATAATAATAATAATAATAATAATAATAATAATAATAATAATAATAATAGTAATTTTAAATTTCAGCACAAAAACCACAAGTTTTATATCCAAATCAAGCAATTCCATCACCAGTTTATACAAATTTAAATGAATTAAAGAAAGCAGCTGCACGTAAATTTCAAAATCGCAATTCTCCTACTGTGAATACAATCCAGAGTAAAAGTGAAACTCTACAGAATAATGATAACAATCGTAAATTCAGTTTACAACTGAATAATAATGAATCAATGCTTACTCCAACAGGCTTAGGTGAATCATTTCATGTTAGTGATATAAACAACAAACTGAATTCAGGTAATTTAAAGTTTGAATTGAATAATCTGATTATTGTACATGTTATATATATGATTGAATGAATTTTACGTAGTATAGTGGTGGAAAGGTAGCGATCGACTTGTAGTGAAGGAGAACACAGGTGGGGCAACCGAATTGTATTTAACGAAAATTACAGAGTTACTCAGTAAAATAGGAAAACCATATCGTAAATCATTAATTTGCAAAATATCAGTTCATCATATCGAACTGGACTGTTCCTGTTGCAAAACATCAACAATCCATTGTCACTATTTATGCGTTTCATACAAATCCCGTTGTGTTCCCACTCTTCCTTTCTCTTGATCTTCCTCCATCTTCTGCTGTCACCAGACATTACGTTGACACTCACGTCATATACTACTTATAAGTAGCTCGCACCACAGACTTTCTTCTAAGCTCTCTAAAATGACAGTTGTCAATATTTTGTTGTACTGTTTCATGTTGTTAGCGGGACATAGATGGAATTAAAGCATGACTGCGTGAGCTGCGCGCTGATTGGCTAATTTCCTATCCAATCAGCGCCTGATGGATTCTTGGAGATCAGGGTAGAAAATTCTCGTGTTGTTTAGCTGCATGCTGATTGGCTTAATCTTATACAGTCGGTCACGTGAATTACAATCCAGAAGCTTCTCGTGAAAATACTATAAAGAATCTAACGTTGTATCTATCTTGCCTTTGCCATCACCTGTCTATGTCACATACTTTAAATGTTGTTTCCTATTAGTCTTGTTAACTGTCTATGTCTCAGACTTCATTGTTGTTTCCTAAACAACCTAACTGTATGAATACGCATTTTATGACCCGGATCCTTTGTTCGGGATCCCTATCTTCTTCTGGACTCGGACCTCGTACTTTCTGGATGTTTGTAGAATACGCGTTCTACTTCATATCAAGTCTTCTTCTTTTATCCAATTGGGGTTTGGGACACTCGGATTAGAGTAGCGTATCGTGTCGCTGTATCCTCGATCCTCGTTTTCGTTTTTCGACCAACGTGAACTCATAATAGTGGTATGGCGACTTGAACTGTTGTATGTACTTACGAAGTTCTACATTGTACCTGACCAATTGACTGACTGACTGAATAATATCATAATACACAAAATCTATCCCGTTTGTGATAGCGGTTCCGTCATAAGAGGCACCGGAACGCTTACATTTATCTTTTATTGACATTTTCGCAATAAATTTCTCTATACCTGTTAGAATATTCACCAAATATCTTACGAAGAATTATTTCGTAAGTGTAAATTCTATTGGTCGATTCCTAATGGTCAATATTATGTTCGGCATAACTATCAATGTCATATACTTCAGTGTTGTTTCCTGTTCGACTTAACTGTATAAATAAGCATTATCTGTAACGTTTCATGACCCAGACCCGGATCCTTAGTCCGGGATCCTGATTCTCTTCTGCACTAGGACCTCGTACTTCCTGGATTCTTGTAGAATACAGGTGTTACTTCATATCAAGTCTTCTTCTTTTAACTCAATGGAGGTTTGGGACGCTCGGATTAGAGTAGCATGTCGTATCGCCGGGTCGTCGATCCTCGTTCTCGTTTTCCGACCAAGGTAAACTCCTGAAATAGTTCAGGCATATCAAGTGACATGTTTACGGGCCTGAGTAACAAAACACTTCTTTTTAATGATTTTTTTTTCTGATATGAAATATAACACATATTAGATGTAAATATTTCATATTCTTTGTTTAAAACCTATCGTATACTTAAACTTTTACTCATAATAATATTACTGTTTGTTATTTTTATTCAAAATAAAACAACAAATCAGATTTACCACAATCTTCTTCTCATTTCATTTGGCCACCAATAACAACATTAGATTCTGTCCATAGTAGTGATTATAGAATGTCAGAGATCAATTCTCCTTCAATTATACAATCATCAATGTATCCATCCACTACTTCTGTTACTGCTATTGCTACTCTACCATCAAATGGAAATACTAATAATACTACTACTAATAATAATATGAGTAGTTTATCTGATGCAACACAATCTTCTACATTTGACAATAATAATAATAATGATATTGGTTACATAAATACCATAGTTAATTCTGGTACATCAACATTTCGACGACGTCAATCGGAATATTTTAAAAAATCACTAGATTCAACATTATCAAATGGTGGAGTGTGTTCATCTCCTCCACCTCCTATTGCTCCTTTACCTATTGCTCCTTCTTCATTAAGTCCATCATCTTCTATTGGGAAAAATGCCAATAATTATGCTTCAGTGACACCAGGTTTAATACGTCGTGGTAGTCAGGTAAGGATAATTTTTTTTAGTAATTGGTTTGTTTGTGAAACTATGTTGATAAGTGTTATTTTTTGAATAGTAACATCAACTTTTTTAACATTATTGACTTACTTACGCTTGTTACCCCCTATGGAGTATAGGCTGCCTACCAGGATTCTTGAACTTACTCTGTTCTGGACCTTCCTTTCTAGTTCTGTCCAATTGTTGTTCATTCTATACATGTCTGTCTCCATTTCTCGGTCTTCTTCTTTTCCTTTGACCTTGAGTATTCGAAGTGAGGGCTTGTCTTGTGACGCAGTTAGGTGCTTTTCATAGTGTGTGTCCTATCCACTTCCACCGCTTTTCCCTGATTTCCTCCTCCACTGAAATCTGGTTTGTTCTCTCCCACAGTACGTTGTTGCTGATGGTGTCTGGCCAACGAATACGAAGTATTTTGCGTAGACAACTGTTAATAAACACTTGTATCTTCTGGATGATGGCTTTCGTAGTTCTCCAAGTTTCCGCTCCATACAACAGAACTGTCTTGACATTTGTAATGAAAATCCTGATTTTGGTTTTGTTTGAAAGTTGTTTGGAGTTGTAGATATTTTTCAACTGTAGAAATGCAGCCGTTGCTTTGCCAATCCGCGCCCTCACATCTGCATCGGATCCACCTTTCTCGTTGATGATGCTGCCAAGATATGTAAAGGTGTTAACGTCCTCTAAGACATCTTCATGAAGAGTGATTTGGTTTGTGCATGTTGTGTTGCATCGGAGAATTTAGCGTTTTCCTTTATGTATGTTGAGACCTACTGCTGCTGTTGAGGCTGCTGCTACACTGGTCGTCTTCTCTTGCATTTGTTGTTGCGTGTGCGATAGAAGAGCCAGGTCATCTGCGAAGTCCAGATCGTCTAGCTGCGTCCTAACTGTCCAGTTGATACCGTGATTCCCTCCAGATGTCGACGTCTTCATAATCCAGTCGATGACCAGGAGAAAGAGAAAGGGTGAGAGTAAACAACCTTGCCTGACACCGGTCTTCACCTCGAACGAGTCTGTCAGCTGACCTCCGTGCACGGTTTTGCAGTTGAATCCATCATAAGAATTCCGTATGATGTTAACTATTTTCTCAGGCACACCGTAGTGTCGAATAAGCCTCCACAGTGTTGTCTTGTCCAGGCTATCGAATGCTTTCTCGTAGTCGATGAAGTTGATGTAGAGTGGTGATTTCCATTCAATTGATTGATTGTTCCACAATGATCCGTAATGTAGCAATTTGGTCAGTGTACACGATCGATCCTTACGAAATCCAGCCTGTTGATCTCGAAGTTGGGCGTCTATACAGTCTTTCATTCTGTTTAACAATACCCTGTTGAAGACTTTGCCTGGTATTAAAAGAAGAGTGATACCTCTGTAGTTCTCACACTTGCTCAGGTCGCCTTTCTTTGGTATTTTTTAATCAGGTATCCTATACATACATATATATATATAATGAGTGTTATTCTCAAATATAGGTCAATTCAATAAAAAATTTGTACATTTAATAATTGTAAAAACAAAAGAGCAAGAAAATGAACAGTAGTAGTAGTAGTAGTAGTAGTATGAGAAACAATGAGAAATTGTTAGATTACATGCATCCTTAGGCCGACACTTATCTAATAATGAATGAAATAAGGTGAATTTCTTAAGGTCATAACAACAATAAATGATTTTTACTGTACACTTTGGACATTTTAAAAAGACTAATTTGTTTTGTTCTGTTTTTCATGTTTCAAAGGAATGAATTAAATATTTTCATGTGTTAAACTTTTTAATAGACGACTGCATGACATTATGTGTGTGCATGTCTGTGTGTGTGTTGGTTCGTTCAGTCAGTCAGTCAGTCAGATGCAACGTAGAACTTCGTACGTAAGTACATCAGTTCATGTCGCCATACCACATTAGCACACAGAGATGTAATTGTCAATTCAAATCCAATAGTAGTAGAGGTAGTAAGGGAATTAGAAGTAATCGGAGAGGTTAGAATTAGAAGGTATTATTCAAGAAGTATGATTAAATGAGAAAAGTTTAGAAAGTCGAAACTAGAGGTGTTAAATAATCCAGAAGATTAGGATTTGAGAGAACATAAGGAATAAATGCAACCATACATAACAAACACAATGTCATATAAACTCAAAAGGAAAGCGATAAAGAAATTCAGTAGGACTATTTGAATATTTAGAAAATTGAGTTTCACTTAATAAAATTTGATGAAAATCTGATCGAGTTAACAAGATGATAGATAGATAGAATCAAAATCAATTGTCAAAAATGTTGAATATTGTTCCTGTAGTGGATTAAATTGCGATGATTTGTGTGCAGTCGCATTGATTTGTAAGTCGGTCAGTCAGTTGCAACGTAGAACTCCGTAAGTATGTACATAAGTTCATATAGCCATACCACATTAGTACAAAGACGCAAATGTCAAATCAAATCCCATAGTGATAAAGATAGTAGAGGTATTAATGGTAATGAAGAAGACTAGGGTTAGAAGATATTATTCAAGAAGTATAATTCAGTGAGATAAGGTTAGAAAGACAAAGGTAGAGGTGCTGACGATTCCAGAAGGTTAGGATTTGAGAGAACACAAAGAATAAATGCACTGGTGCCATTGCAAACGATTTTGAGCCATGTCATTCAAGGTCTCTAACCATCGATTATTATCATCTCGCGGACCCCAACCAGGTAGTCGAAAATTACCGACATGGCTAAGTCCACTCGTCAGTGACTTCATGGATTGCTGCCATGTTTTGGTCTGGCCGCCCCTAGCTTTCTTCCAACCTATTCCTACACTACAAAACAAAGCTCGACGAGGCAGTCGGTGGTTAGACATACGCAACACGTGTCCCAACCACCTCAACTGATGAAGTTTCACCACTTCATCGATTGATCTGCCATCTTTACCTAGTACTCGTTTCCTAACGACAGCATTGCTCACTCGGTTGTCCCATGATATACGAGCAATGCTTCGAAGACACCTATGATCGAAAACCAGTAACCTACGAATATCTTCTACTCTAACTGGCCATGTTTCACAGCCATATAGGAGAACGGAGCGAACTGCTGCACAGTACACTCGTCCTTTAATTAGAGAACGGATATCACGCCTACGCCATAAGTGACGCAGGTTGGCAAAAGCCAATCGAGCCTTCTGTATCCGAGCTGAGATTTCGTCAGTCACCAGGCCATCAGCACTGATGAGACTCCCAAGATAAGTGAAGCAGTCTACACGTTCGACTACTTCACTCCCTATCACTAGTTCAGGTGCCGATGCAACCCAGTCTTGAAAGCAACATTTTGCATTTCGAGGGGAGAAACCGCATCCCGAACATGCTTGCATTGTTGCTTAGGGTAGTCAGAAGACTCTGCATTTTGTCAGCATCTTCACCAAGTAGGACTATGTCATCGGCATATTCTAAGTCAATAAGCGAGGCAGCAGGTAAAAGGTCTACTCCTGAAAATTCAGACGAGGATAAGGTTATTTCTAGGTTCAAAGGAAGTACCTAAGCGCATATATGTCATATCCGGAAATAGAAAGTCGCATAATCAATAATTATTTCTACTTCTTACTATAAATTAATGTAATTTTCCTCAAAAAACAAATGAAAACTGTTTAAATTATGTTGTGTGTTAGCTTGACTTCTATTACTTACTGATAAAGAAATTTTATGTCTTATCAGCCTAATTTACTATTTTATATTTGAGAAAAGGAATTCTTTTTTACTGGCCAGCAGCATTTCAATCAATTAGTCAGTTACAATATAGAACTTTCTATGTACGTACATCAGGTGGTCAGGTCAGGTTGCCATACTGCATTAGCACAGACAAGCAAATGTCAATTGCAATCCTATTGTGATAGAGATAGTAGAGGTATTAATGGTAATGAAGAAGACTAGGGTTTGAAGATATTATTCAAGAAGTATAATTCAGTGAGGTAAAAATTTAAAAAGAGAAAGATAAAGGTGGTGAAGAATTCAGCGGATTAGAAGTCGAGAGAACAAAAAGGGTGGATACACCTGTGTCGTTGCAAACGCTTTTGAGGTAAGCGGTTTTAAGGTCTCTAACCATCGATTATTACTATCTCGCGGACATCGACCAGGTAGTCTCTGTCTACCAACTTGACTTAGTCCACTTGTCAATGACTTCATGGATTTATGCCTTGTTTTTGTTAGGCCGCTCCTACCTTTCTTCCAACCTATTCCTACATTGAGACAGTTGGTGGTTGGTCATTCGTAACACATGTCGCGACCACCTCAACTGATGAAGTTTCACTTCTTCATTTATTGATGTGCCATCCTTACCCAGTACTCGTTTTCTAACAACAGCATTGCTTACTCGGTTGTCCCAGGATAAACACGAGCAATGCTTCGGAGATATCTATAATCTAATACTAATAACTTACGAATATCCTCTACTCTTGCTGGCCATGTTTCGCATCTATACAGTAGGACGGATCGATCTGCTGCACAGAAGACTCGTCCTTTGGTTAGCAAACGGATATCTCTGCTGCGCCTTGAGTGACGCAAGTTGGCAAAAGCCAATCGAACCTTCTGTATCAGTGATGAGACTTCATCAGTCACTAGGCCATCAACACTGATGAGACTCGTCAGGTAAATGGAGCGGTTAACACACTGAACTGTTTCACTACTTATTACGAGTTCAGGTGCCGATGCAACCCAATTTTTAAGCAACATTTTGCATTTCGAGGGGGAAAACCGCATCCCGAATATACTTGCATTGTGTTGACTAAGGTAATCAGAAGACTCTGCATTTATTCAGTCATTGGCATATTCTAAGTCTACAACAAATTATACATTCACGAGGAGGCTACATCTTAATCAATCACTTTACTTTATCATTAGTTCCCATATCTGATTGTCTCATCATCTCACTAATTACGTAACATGAAAAGACAATGCTTATCACAATATCTAGTCAGATTAATCGAGTATTCATATTACCTAAAATAAAAATTAACCAATCAAATTCTATCAATACTGTAAGATGCTCAGCTAGAGTTATGGAGATTAGTGTTTTTACACATTTGAAATCATCGATCAATCAATCATTGTTAGACCACAACTATTAGAAACCTGGGAAGCACTGAACGGCGTTGCTCGTTATTGTGAGCGAATGCCTAACCACTAGACTACTGGGCCGCCACTCAATGGTGTTAATGTCTAACTCTGATTGATCTAGGGATTTTTTTCACGACCTCACCTATTTGTCTCTGGTAGTTACTGCCTCTACACCCGACAGGGTTGAACTCCTTCATTGATCACGTCTTCTCAACTAGAACGCTGAGAATTTCCTTACGAAGAAGCCAGTCACTAGTGAGCATATTTTAGGATATTTTCAATTACAGTTATGGAGATTAGTGTTTCTACACATTTTTGAAGTCCATGATCAATCATGTTTAGACCATGGCATGGAACAACTACTCATCAGCAGTGCACATCCACGATACTGTAATAATAAGACAGTTAGAGCTAGAGTTATGGAGATTAGTGTTTTTACACATTTGAAATCAATCATTGTTAGACCACCACTATTAGAAACCTGGGAGCACTGGACGACCCTACTCGGTATTGTACGCGAAAGCCTAACCATTAGACTACTGAGCCAGCATCCAACGGTGTTAATGTCTAACTATCTGATTGATCTAGGGATTTTTTTAACGACCTCACCCATTTGTCTTTGGTAGTTAATGCCTACACCCAATAGGTTTGAAGCACTGGACGGCCGTTTCGTCCTGGTATGGGACTGCTCATCAGCAGTGATCATCCACGACTGTAATAATAAGACAGTTAGAGAAATTTATTTAACTGTTACATAATCAATATATGTATATGTATGTATACATAATTAATATTTCATTCATCATTTTAGGCATATCAACAAACTCCTCAAATTGGTACACGTCATTATGATCGTCCAGTAGTTGTACATCCACCAAGACGTTCAAGTAGTGTTAGTCGTGAATTAGTATCACATAATTCTGTGTTAAACAATAATAGCACTGTGAACAAAAATAGCAATAATCCAAATCAGAGTTTGCTAACAACTAATCAACATCAACATTATTCACGTTTAAATTTATCTGATTTTGCTGGTAATAAAAATCCATCATTATTTAATTCTTCATCATATGAACAATCTACTACTACTAATACTACTTATAACAATAATAGTAGTATAAATAATAATGATAATAATTTTCATCATCAACAGTACCAACCACCACAACAACAGCAACAACACCTTCAGCAGCATCAATCGAATTTACTTCAACGAATCAATCCGAATGGTACAGCTGCATCATCGATGCTACAACAACACCAGCATCCGTATAGACAACAGCAACATCAACAAGATATGTTTCCTTTGCCTTGTTCTCCGTCGACTATGAATAATAACAATTCACATTATTCACGAATCTATCAAAATAATCATAATCATAATAATAATAATGGTATTATGATGACTGGTCGTGATAGTCCTATCCCTGTTAGTCATATAAATAATAATAATAATAATCTAAGTAGTAATACTACTAATAATACTACTAGTAATAGTAATAGTAGTCAATTAATGTTTGGTGTAAAAGTTCTACCGAATATTGTCACATCACAACAATTATTGAATAATAACACTGCTGTCAACAGTCAACATTATCATCATCAGCATCAGCAACATCAATCGAGATTACCACAAAGAGGTGGATTAACACGTCAGACAAGTTGTGAACCGCCAACAATTGGTTCATTAATGAATCATCATAACACCACGATTGGTGGAGGTGGAGGTGGAGGTGGTGGTGGTGGTGGTTTATTAAGATCACAAACTTTATTCCCTCCTGATCGACAGTCGTCATCATCATCAGTATCGAATGAAGAGTATTTGCAACACCCACAACATCAACAACAGCCACAATCTCATTATTCTAGTAATATTCATAATTTAAAACAAAATAGTTCATTTTTACAATCACGACAACCAACTTCGTCGGATAATGGTGGGGGTCCTGCTTTGAGAGGACAACCACCACAACAACAATTGTTTACAGATGATAGTGTAACTAGTAAGTGTGATATCTTATCTATTTATATTTGTACTATTATTTGATGTTAATATACTCGAAACTATTACAAGTTCAGTCAGTCAGTCAGTCAGAAGCAACGTGTAGAACTTTGTATGTAAGTACATCACTTCATGTTGCCATACCACCACATCAGCACAGAGAGATATAATTGTCAATTCAAATCCAATAGTAGAAAAGGTAGTAAAGGTATTAGAGAAGTAATTGGAGAGGTTAGGATTAGAAGATATTATCATTCAAGAAGTATGATTCAGTGAGAAAAGTTTAGAAAGACAAAACTAGAGCTGTTGAAGAATCCAGAAGATTAGGATTTGAGAGAACACAAAGAATAAATGCACCTACGTCATTGCAAACGAATCTGAACCACGTCATTCGAAGGTTTCTAACCATCGATTATTATCATCTCACGGACCCCAACCAGGTAGTCGACAATTACCGACATGGCTAAGTCCACTCGTCAATGACTTCATGGATTTCTGCCATGTTTTAGTTTGGCCGCCCCATTACAAGTTCAACTTACTTGGTAAACGGAGCGAAGATCAATGATAAGTTATTCTAATCTATTTGATCTGTAATCAATCATTAAATTATACAAATCATGTGATCACGTGTGTGTGTAGGTAGCACCCTGCATGCACAACTGATTTACAACAAATAATGTTCTAAATATAATTTGTGCATTTTTTTTGTCGAGACAGCTGTAATACACATCCACAGTCAGTCAGTCATTCAGGTCAGGTCTGTTACAACGTAAAACTTCGTACGTACGTACTTACACCAGTACATGGTTGCCATACCATATTAGCACAAAGAGATGGAATTGTCAATTGAAATCCCATAGTGGTAGTTCTAGTGAAAGTATTAGCAGTAATGAAGAAGATTAAGGATCGAAGATATTATTCAAAAAGTATAATTCAGTGAAATATATTTGAGAAGGGAAAGATAAAAGTGGTGAGGAATTCAGAAGATGAGAATTTCATAGGACACTAAGAGTAAATACACCTGCGCCATTGGAAAGCATTTTAAACCATATCATTCAGGATCTCTAACCATCGATTACTATCATCTGGCGGACCCTAACCAGGTAGTCGATACGCACCAACATGACTTAGTTCACTACTTGTCAGTAGTGACTTCATGGATTTGTGTCATGTTTTGATCTGGCCGCCCTTAGTTTTCTTCCAACCTATTCCTAAACCGCAAAACATCGTTCGTCGTGGCAGTTGGTGGTTGGGCATTCGTAACACATGTTTCAACTATTTCAACTGATGAGGTTTCGCCATTTCATCTATTGATTTGCCATCCCTACCTAGTACTCGTTTTCTAATCATAATATTGCTTACTCGGTTGTCCCATAATATACGAGCAATACTTTTAGGACATCTATGATCAAATACCAGTAGTAACCTGCGAATATCTTCTACTCTGATTGGCCATGTTTCACACCAGTATAGTAGGGCGGAATGAACTGCTGCGCAGTAGAATTGTCTTTTGGTTAGCTGATGGATAACTCTCTTACGAAATAAGTGACGCAAGTTAGTAAGAACCAGGCGAGCCCGCTGTATTGTTGCTGAGGTTTCGTCAGTCACCAGACCGTCAGCATTGATGAGACTGCCAAAGTAAGTGAAGCGTTTGACACACTCAACTGCTTCACTCTCTATCATTAGTTCAGGTGCTGATGCAACTCAATCTTGAAGCAACATTTTGTATTTTGACGGGGAAAATCGCATCCCGAACATGCTTGCATTGTTGCTTAGGGTGGTGAGAAGACTCAGCATTTTATCAGCGTCTTCACCAAGTAGCACTATGTCATCGGCATACTCTAAGTCAACAATCGAGTCTCCTCGTAGATAGTCGACCCCTGAAAAGTCAGACGAAGAGAATTTTAACTCTAAAAGCATATCTACTACAAAGTAAACAGGTATAGACAGAGTGGATAGCCTTGACGGACACCACTTGAAGTAAAGAATTCCGATGACAGTTTGCTATAAGCTCTAACTTGACCTGTAGTGTTCGAGTGGAGTGACAAACACTACCACAGAACCTCACGATTGATAGAGTCAAATTCCGTCTTAATTAAGGTCGTCGAGACATTTGGTGGTGG